CCTCAGCCACCAGTTGGTCCCTGCCTGGTTGCCCTGGGGATTGGCTCCACCCCCTGCCGTCCCTATATGGTAGGATCTGCGAGGCTCCACACATTTGAAGACCTGGGTCGATGGCGACTATCTATCGAATTGTAAACATCATTAAGATTAAACTATTTTTCTACCATCATGTTCGTCTCTGGAGTCTTTCTGGTAGAACCTCAGTTCCATAAACATTGAGACAGTATGTGAAATGCTAATAAAACAGAAAGCAGTGATTAGTAAATTCTACCTGCTTTAAATTGAAAATGGTACAAACATACCATATTTGATGTTTTGCCTAAAAACGTATTGTAATATACGCTTATATAAAATGTGATGCTTGCAAAACATTTCAAAAAAGTTGGCACAGGAGCATGTTGGCATAGCAGCACTGTGTTACAGCATCTTTCCTTTTAACAGCACTTAATAATCATGTATGGACTGAAGACAAACAGATCCAGTTCTGAAAGCGGCATTTATTGCCATTTCTTCTGATATACAAGTCTTCAGCTGTGCAACCATACAGGGCTTTTGTTGTCATATATTGAGCTTAATAAAGCAGGGTGTTGTCATGTTGAAATAAGCATGGGTCCCTATTACAGATGTACAAATCACCCAGTAATACCCTCCCACACCATGACAGATGCTGGATTTTCAGCTTTACACTGGTAACAATCTGGATGGTCCTTTTCTTCTTTGGTCTGGAGAAATCTAAAATTCGTGCAGTCTCTGGCTGAGGAATGTTATTTTTTAATGACTGGATTTTTTGCTGATGGCAAGCCTCAACACATCCTCGCTCATGAATCTAGGCCTTTTCTGGCTGCTTAAGTTGCACCTGTTTAAGTTTTTTCGAACACTTTACAGTGTTTCTAGTCTTAAATAGCCCCGTCCCAACTTTTTTGAAATATATAACAGGCATCAGTTTCAGAATGAGTGTATATTTACAGAAAGCAAAGAATTTAAGTTAAAACTCTATATATCTTGTCTTTGTACTCTGTTTGTTCAAATACAGGTGAAGTATATCGAATAAAATTATTTACCATGGCACCTTCATGCAGAACTTGGTGTGCTTGCCCACCTGCCCTGTTATTAGTTATGAAACTTTGTCAGCCACAAAAAACAATCTGCTTTATGTAAAATTATAAAGTCATTCAACAATACAAATTGCATTAGCATGTCCTAGAAGCCCATGTCCTGTTCCACCACCACTGCCTTACACAGCATTTACAATATATATATATATATATATATATATATATATATATATATATATATATATATATATATATACATAACAAAATACATAATATGCTATACTTCCACTATCAGCACAGTTCATTTAAGTACAGTGAAAGTGCAGAGTGGTAAAATTTCAGATTAGTCTTAGTGCTCACAGTTTTATTATAGTAGAGTTGCCTAAATTTATTTCCTCATGCAAGTCATGTTCTTCATATTACAGCTATAGTTATAATTATTTGCTAGGGAAAACATTCACTTTTTCATGCTAATACTAGCCTGCTCACTGCCACGGCATTACATTTTAGCTAGGTTATATTTACGAAATATTGTTTCATTTTATTCACTAAAAGGGGCCTGAAGACATAACAATGAACAGGAACTGTAATATAATAAAGGTTTGATTAGATTTTAAATGTATTCTTCGAGGGCAGGATAGTTTGAGGTTGGAATTAATAAAGATCATGTCAGATGGAGATGAGTGTTGGAAAGATGCTATGTTAGAAGAACTTATGTAGGAAAATATCTTACCTCAGAAAACTCCAGATGTAGGCCTACAACTGTAGAGCAGATAGCATATTGTCATTTAATCTCATAATCCAGTCACAGCCGTTTTAAAATTCAAAGGCAGCTGTGCAGGCCCATCAGGAGAAATGGTGAATACACATCGTTGGGCAGAAAACGTAGTGATGGCTAAATATCAAATACACTATTCTAAATTTATTCAGTAATGTATTTGGTTACTATACATTTAAAGTAATGTATTTAGATTACATCTAGAATACATCTTACTGAGGCACACGGGACAAAATCTACTGTTGTAATTTTTATTCCATTCAAAATGTTCCTTGAGGTTACTGGTTGCCAGTTTTCTTTATGTAATTTATCTGTTAATATGTTTCATGGAAAGAACCATTGCCTGTCTCATGAACTCAGCAAAAGTAGGACTGGTTTTGGGGACCCTCATAAAAGCTATATTCATTCATTTGTGTCTTTCTGAATTGTCACACTTTTCAAATACCAACCTCAATTCCAAAAAAAGTTGGGACAGTATGTGAAATGCAACTAAAAACAGAAAGCAGTAATTTTTAAACCCACTTTGACCAGCAATTAAAAGAAAACATGACAAAGACAATATTTGTTTACTGTCATTGTTGTAAATATATGCTTATTCTGAAAGTGAGTGTGTTTACATGCACTTATTAATCTGATCACTACAGAAAATCAGCCAATAAACTCACTGAAGAAGACGTGACATAAATGTAATGTCAAATTCTTCATTCTTCAAAAACTTCATGCTGCGGCTTTTTTAAAAAAACATCGAGCCACTTTAGCTGAAAATGTAAACTTACATCATCTAAAAGATGAAGAATATTTAAATCTGTCATTTCCTCAAAAAAGTTGGGGCAAGGCCAATTTAATTTAATTTAATATTCAAAGAACACAACTGCGACCCAGAAGGATAAGCGGCTTAGATGATGTATGTATGTATGTATGTATGTATTCAAAGAACACATTAAACAGATATTGCGATTATACCTGGGTATAAAAGGAGCATTTAGGAAAGGCCTAGTATGCCTTTATGAGCAAGGATGGGTTGAGGCTTGTCATGCCAAAAAATGAATAGGTGAATAATCCAACAGTTTAAGAATAATCTTTGTTACTGAATGGTTGAAGGAAGGTATTTCACACTCTACAGTACAAAATATGATCAAAAGACTCAAAACACCTGGAGAGATCTCTGTGCATAAAAAGCAAGGCTGAAAACCACAACCTTTAATCTCTCAGACAGCACTGCATTAAAAACCGGCATGCTTCAGTGATGGATATCACCAATTTTGGGAATAATGTGACAAACCATTGTCAGTAATCCAAAGTGTTCACCAATGGATCCACATATGCAAATTAAGACTGTACTAAGCACAGTGGAAGCCATATACCAACAACATACAGAAACACTGCCGACTTCTCTGGGCTTGAGCTCATCTCAAAGAGGCTGATGCACAGTCAAAACCTATTATTTCAACTGTGTCTGATGAGTCAGACTTCAGATTGTTTATGGAAATAATGAATGTTGAGCCAATGAAACCAAAGAAGAAATGATTAGTACTTGCTTAAAGTTCAAAGGCCAGGGTCTATAATGGTACAGAAGTGGTTTTAGTGACTATGACATAGGTAACTTACACAGTTTCGAAGGAACATTTAACACTGAAAGATTAAACACATGTTTTGGAGTGACATATGGAGTTTGACCACCATGGAACTTCTGCTGTACAACACTGTGCAAATCTCACCTGCAGACCACTGACCCTCCCAATGATACTGCAGCATTTTTTAATCATAGATATTGCTTCTCCTGCTTTTTCCCTTTTCTGTATCTTATACTTATAGTGATGGTCAAACCTTATTCTCTACTGTTATTGCTTGCTATTTGGTGTCGACCAGAGGAGGATGGGTTCCCCTTTTCAGTCTTGGTTCCTCTCAAGGTTTCTTCCTCTTGCTCTAAGGGAGTTTTTCCTTGCCACTGTCGCTACTTGCGACGCTCATGGGGGCTCAGATCTGGATTTTTCTGTAAAGCTTCTTTGTGACACATTTTGTAAAAAGCGCTAAATGAATAAACTTTGACTTGACTTGATGTGCTGCCTTCTAGATGACGTCTTTTTCAAAGACTTCAAAGCTTATTTCAACATGACAATGGCAACCTACATTCTGCACATTACAACAGCATGGCTGTGTAATCAGGGAGTGCAGGTGCTAGATGGCCATACTGTCCCAACTTATTTGAAATTGAGGTTTGTCCATATTGTCCTACTATTGCTAAATTTGAATATTTTCGGGGAACAATTTTCCTATCATAATAAAAAAATCTTGCAAATGTATCTGTATGTGATGTAGCTATGTGATGCCATTACTGTTACTCAGTAATGCTGAATAACTGTCTCTTCATGTTGTTGTATCAGTTTAGCTTTAGCTGGAACTTCAGTAGCAGTTTGTTGAGTTCAATTTTAGAGTCTGTCTAATGTTTGCTACATGCCAGCATGCATTGCAGGATTATAAAATAGTTACTACACAGCCTTGATGGAATTTCTTTTAAAGATTATATGTATTTTTATTCAGTGGGTAATTATTCTAAAAGAATTCTTCTAAAATTTAAAATGAAACTGTTTTCTGAATACTGCTTTTACAAATTATTGCATGAACTAAACACAGATGCCTTACTTCTATTTGATTCTGAATACATATATCCAGTACATGTATTCTGTGACATCCCCACCCTACGAACACATAATAGTAAAAGTTGTAAGTGGTAATGAATAAACACTACAGCGCTTCATATCAGCAATGGCCCCAAATACTGACATTCACTATTTTTCAATATTGGTTTTATTTGAGAAAAAAAAATCAAATAATCCACAATTCTGTGTAAGTGTAGAAATCGTCTTTTTTCTGAATATTTTCTAGTACATTCATGACACTTTTACTTCAAAGGGAAAAATCTTTGAGCTTGGCACTTAGAAAACAACCACAAGGAATTCTTTTTTTATTTGTTTAGAACCAAATTTACAAAGCCATTCAAACAGTCTGTATATATATTTTTGTTGTGTCTTAGTAACGTCTTTCAACTGAACCTCAAAAAAAGCAAGAATATTCAAAATACACTTTGACTTCACTGCAGTGTCTCATTATTTACAAATATGCACAGTTTAGGAAAGTCAAAGTCTCTGTCCTAACAGCCACGTATCATCTGTATTACAAAAAAAGAAAGAGAGAGAAAGAAAAAGAAAAATACTTGTTCCTTTTTGACATATTTTCATCTTCTCTTAAAACCTCCACCTGTGCCAGACCCTCCAATGTCTGTGATTGGATGCTTTAGGCCGGCTGACAAAGTGAGCCTCTTTTTTTGAAGGTGAATGTGATTGGCGGGCTTAGATAGAGGTCCCATGGCTGGAGTCCATGGCTTCCGGGATGGGTCCTCCGGGCACTGCTTGGTAGGCGATAGGCATGGGTGTTTTTACGGGACTCTGGCGGAAAAGGCCTCCGTTGGGGGCTCGGTGTTTGCAGCGCATGGAGGGGGGCAGGGTGGAGCTGCTGAGGGGCAGGGGCAGGTTGCGTCCAGGTAGGCGGCCCATGCTGGAGCCCTCCTGGAGGAAGGAGGTGACGGACATGCCCCCTGGAGGAAAGTCCCTCACAGCCTCCTGCGAGCCCTGCCGCTGGCGCATGCTGCCCAGACTGCCCATGCTGCCCATGCTGCCCATGTCCAGTGCTGAGATCTCTAGAGACTGGCCAGGAAGCTGCTTGTGCGCCAGGTCATCGTCTATGAGCCCAGTCAGGCGCTGGTGAACCTGCTCCAGATTCACCTCTTTGTCCTGAGAGAGAGAGAGAAGGAGAGATGTAAGAGAAAGGTTCGGATAGAAAGAGAAATAGGTGGAGGAAATGGGGTATGTGTAGCAAGTAGAGTTGTCAAAGTACATAAAAACGAGTTTGATTGAGCTGCATAATTTTTGGAATCATTTCTAATTAGGGCTCTCATTATTGACTTTGTATTAACGCCACTAATTTTCAAATGCCAGCAACAGGTTTTTCTAGATTGACCCGTCAAACCATGTTGTAGCCCTGTTCAAATATAGCTTTTAAATGGCTTTTAAAGCAAATATTTTCAACATATTATGCCAGACAGTATTCATAAGATACCTATGGATAAATCAATGAGCAGCAAACTTGCCGAGGGCTACAATCGTTGAGACCACTGACTCTTTATATTATACATATCAGGGGTCTCCATCCTAGACCCTAGAGAGTTTAGGACCAACAAACCTGGCTCTAATATTCAGATGCTTCTGGAGGTCTTAATGACCTGCATCACCTGGTGTTAGATTAGGGTTGGAGCTAAACTCTGGGTGGTAGATATCCAGGCCCAGGCCTGAGCACCCCTGATATATATGGTTGGAACATGCACTGTTTGTCTAGCTGGAGATGAATGCAATTTCTAGTTTTCACCCTGTAGAAATCATGTAATTTTTATGTTCTATGTGATCAAAATAAAATTGGATCCAATAATATTGGATTGTTGGACGTGGAAAAACTGCTTGTGAGGCAGTGTGACAAATGTGATTGTGATTAGCCACACAAAATAATGTGTTGTAATTCATTAATTGTAATTAATTATTATAATTGTTGACATCTCTGATTGTAATCAATTACAATATCAGCATTCGTCAAATATGTGCTTATTTTCCAGCCTAAATAAAACTCTCTGGCTAATTTTAAACATCAAAATAAAATGATGTGTATTGGTTTAATTGGCTGTTTCACTGCTTCATAAACAGCTCTAGTCACCTTTGTATATGTATGTAAAAGAGTCCTATAAAGAACTGGAATCTTGTCAAATCTTTGTGAGGTCTGAGATTTGCACCACTGGTAAAAAGGTTTCTTCTCACAGGATTCTTGTGGTTTTCTAAAGTTGCTTCCTCATTAAAACACTTTGTACTCTCACATAACTGGGGAACCTCACAAGCTCCAGTCAAAGAAGAGCATTCAAACACATGGACTGGACTCGAATTACACCAACTCAGGTGGGTAATGCTTTCTCTCACAGTTCCTTAAGTTCTAGGCAGTAATCAGATAAGTGTACAATCACCAAAGTACTAAATAATATTTTAGGTAACATGATGGCAGGTTCCAAGGCAGTCTAACTCACTGAAATTCTAGATATCAACTGGGTAATTATTTGGTACAAACTCATTTTTTGAGCAAATCTGGGCTGTACATGCAATGAGTCTTACTATGGGTTTATCTATGCCTTTTATCAGCTTAATAGCTAGAACCTTCTTGGAACCCATTGTCATTTTACCCAAAACAATTAAGTAGCACTTTGGAGATTGCATCTCACACCTACTCACTTAATATCAAGAACCTGTTTGAAATTTCAGTATAATTTAGTAAGCTCTCTTGAAATGACCATTATGTTACCCAAAATAATTATCTAGTACTTTGGGGTTTGTACCTCACACTTACTTCCTTGGTTGATACCTAGAACGTACGGGACTGTTTATCTATACCTTAAATCAACTTTATATCTACAAGGTGTTAGTCTTGAAACCTGCTATTATTTTATCCAAAACAATTAAGTAGTACTTTGGAGATTGTCTCTCACACTTACTCACTTAATATCTAGAACCTATTTGACATTTCACAATAATTTAGTAAGCTCTCTTGAAATGTCCATAATGTTAACCAAAATAATTATCTAGTACTTTGGGGATGGTACCCCACACTTACTTGGTTGATACCTAGAACTTATAGGACTGTTTATCTATGCCTTTTGTCAGCTTAATAGCTAGAAGCTGTAAGTCTTGGAACCCATTATCATTTTACCCAAAACAATTAAGTAGTACTTTGGAGATACTATCTCACACTTACTCACTTAATATCTAGAACCTGTTTGAAATTTCAGTATTATTTAGTAAGCCAAAATAATTATCTAGTACTTTGGGGTTTGTACCCCACACTTACTTGCTTGATACTTGATAGAACCCAAGGGACTGTAAAAGTGCAGACACATCTCATACTGTTCCTCAACAAGACAGAGGAAGTCAAAGGGAAATTAAATGATGATGATGGTGATGATGGTGATGATGATGATGATGATGATGATGATAATCCTACACCTGGATGTTCACATCCTAAACTGATAATACAGTTTAGGATGATAATAAAGTGATAATACAGCATTTGTGGTGCCCAGATGGAGAAACAAGACGTTGGCATTCATTTAGTGAAGTGATCATGAGGGATGTTGTTTACATGGTCAACTAAATGAACAGCATCTGATCTACAACATGCTTTTCGGCCTGATTTCTCAGAATAATCACTATAAATCTTGGGTGATGTCAAAACAAATGTCGCTCTAGAGAGGCTGACAGCCTATATAGCTACTCTGACTGGCTGAAAATGTATGTGCTACTTTTGGGTGGGTGGGAAGGTGGGTGAAGTTGCAAAGCTATTATATACTGGACAAATACAATCTCCCATAAAAGAGGATTACTCTGAAGTGTAACCATCTCATTCAAAAACGAAAAAAAGATATTTATGTCATACAATGATGCTCACAGATATTTTGTCCTCTGTCTGTAGGACAATTCGAAAAAGGGCATTCACTAAAATTGGGGCATTAACAGTAGCGAAGGCCCCAGACAGTATTATTCAGATTACTCAACGGCTTTTATGATGGATGATGAAACATAATCGGACACAGTAATAAAGGTCAGTGCAGTGACAACCAAAAGAGGCAGATTGCTGTCAAGTCTAGAAAGAGCTAAGGGAGTGCAGGGAAAAAAAAAAGTGACAGTTTGTAAACAGTCTGCCCTGATACAGTATGGTCAAAGCTCTCTCTCGCTCTCCCTCTATCTCTCTCACTCTACCTTCTTACGAAGAGTCTATGCAGTATGGTCAAAGCTCTCTCTCTCTCCCTCTATCTCTCTCACTCTACCTTCTTACGAAGAGTCTATGCAGTATGGTCAAAGCTCTCTCTCTCTCTCTCTCCCTCTATCTCTCTCACTCTACCTTCTTACGAAGAGTCTATGCAGTATGGTCAAAGCTCCCTCTCTCTCTCTCCCTCTATCTCTCTCACTCTACCTTCTTACGAAGAGTCTATGCAGTATGGTCAAAGCTCTCTCTCTCTCTCTCCCTCTATCTCTCTCACTCTACCTTCTTATGAAGAGTCTATGCAGTATGGTCAAAGCTCTCTCTCTCTCTCTCCCTCTATCTCTCTCACTCTACCTTCTTATGAACAGTCTATGCAGTATGGTCAAAGCTCCCTCTCTCTCTCTCCCTCTATCTCTCTCACTCTACCTTCTTACGAAGAGTCTATGCAGTATGGTCAAAGCTCTCTCTCTCTCTCTCCCTCTATCTCTCTCACTCTACCTTCTTACGAAGAGTCTATGCAGTATGGTCAAAGCTCTCTCTCTCTCCCTCTATCTCTCTCACTCTACCTTCTTACGAAGAGTCTATGCAGTATGGTCAAAGCTCTCTCTCTCTCTCTCCCTCTATCTCTCTCACTCTACCTTCTTACGAAGAGTCTATGCAGTATGGTCAAAGCTCTCGCTCTCTCCCTCTATCTCTCTCACTCTACCTTCTTATGAAGAGTCTATGCAGTATGGTCAAAGCTCTCTCTCTCTCCCTCTATCTCTCTCACTCTACCTTCTTATGAAGAGTCTATGCAGTATGGTCAAAGCTCTCTCTCTCTCCCTCTATCTCTCTCACTCTACCTTCTTACGAAGAGTCTATGCAGTATGGTCAAAGCTCTCTCTCTCTCTCCCTCTATCTCTCTCACTCTACCTTCTTATGAAGAGTCTATGCAGTATGGTCAATGCTCTCTCTCTCTCTCCCTCTATCTCTCTCACTCTACCTTCTTACGAAGAGTCTATGCAGTATGGTCAAAGCTCTCTCTCTCTCTCTATCTCTCTCACTCTACCTTCTTATGAAGAGTCTATGCAGTATGGTCAATGCTCTCTCTCTCTCTCCCTCTATCTCTCTCACTCTACCTTCTTACGAAGAGTCTATGCAGTATGGTCAAAGCTCTCTCTCTCTCTCCCTCTATCTCTCTCACTCTACCTTCTTATGAAAAGTCTATGCAGTATGGTCAAAGTTCTCTCTCTCTCTCTCTATCTCTCTCACTCTACCTTCTTACGAAGAGTCTATGCAGTATGGTCAATGCTCTCTCTCTCTCTCCCTCTATCTCTCTCACTCTACCTTCTTACGAAGAGTCTATGCAGTATGGTCAAAGCTCTCTCTCTCTCTCTATCTCTCTCACTCTACCTTCTTACGAAGAGTCTATGCAGTATGGTCAAAGCTCTCTCTCTCTCTCTTCCTCTATCTCTCTCACTCTACCTTCTTACCAAGAGTCTATGCAGTATGGTCAAAGCTCTCTCTCTCTCTCTCTCCCTCTATCTCTCTCACTCTACCTTCTTACCAAGAGTCTATGCAGTATGGTCAAAGCTCTCTCTCTCTCTCTTCCTCTATCTCTCTCACTCTACCTTCTTACGAAGAGTCTATGCAGTATGGTCAAAGCTCTCTCTCTCTCTCTCCCTCTATCTCTCTCACTCTACCTTCTTATGAACAGTCTATGCAGTATGGTCAAAGCTCTCTCTCTCTCTCCCTCTATCTCTCTCACTCTACCTTCTTACGAAGAGTCTATGCAGTATGGTCAAAGCTCTCTCTCTCTCTTCCTCTATCTCTCTCACTCTACCTTCTTATGAACAGTCTATGCAGTATGGTCAAAGCTCTCTCTCTCTCTCCCTCTATCTCTCTCACTCTACCTTCTTATGAAGAGTCTATGCAGTATGGTCAAAGCTCTCTCTCTCTCCCTCTACCTCTCTCACTCTACCTTCTTATGAAGAGTCTATGCAGTATGGTCAAAGCTCTCTCTCTCCCTCTATCTCTCTCACTCTACCTTTTTATGAAGAGTCTATGCAGTATGGTCAAAGCTCTCTCTCCCTCTATCTCTCTCACTCTACCTTCTTATGAAGAGTCTATGCAGTATGGTCAAAGCTCTCTCTCTCTCTCTCCCTCTATCTCTCTCACTCTACCTTCTTATGAAGAGTCTATGCAGTATGGTCAAAGCTCTCTCTCTCACTCTCCCTCTATCTCTCTCACTCTACCTTCTTACGAAGAGTCTATGCATGGCTAAGTCACGAAATGAACCTAATACACCTAACCTAATTCCTCCTTCACCTCTGAGTATCATTATAACTGAACAAACTGTGTAATGCCAACTCATAACATCATGTAACATCTGCTATGATATGTTTAAAGCATGGTTATGTCAATGTTATGTAGCAGGGTGTTAAATGAACTTTCTTACATTTATGCATTTGGCAGACGCTCTTCTCCAAAGCAACTTACAATTTAACCATGTTGCATATAGTAGTCGAATGCAGCGGTAAGAGTGGACTCTTCTGACCACAGCTACTACATTTAGCCAGCAGTAAGTCAACAACTCTTTTTTTGAAGTAAGACAATTTTACTGCATCTAGGGTTGCTTAGCCCCTTTATGCCTGGGGGATAGTGGGCAATCTTGCCTTTAAATTGGTTCTTCTTGTTAAATAACAATCTCTAAATGCTGTAATTGTGGCTATTTTTAAACAAAATGAAAATGAGATAATAAAGCTGAAATACAAAGAATACAAATGCATAGTAATATACATTACATTGCCAAAAGCTTGTACACAGGTTGTATAACCTCCATAGAAAAGCATTGCCAATAGAACGGGATGCCTTGGAGCAGCCGCACATAAGACAACATGGGATAAAGGTTGGGGGTAGTTAGAACCAGATGGTCACCATGCCCAGTTGGTGCATTGAACAAAAATGACTGAGGTTGAAGTGGATTCTATATACTTCATCCTGAGATGGGGACTCACATCGCATGTTGACTGACTCGTGACTTGACTGTAGACTTACCAACCATTTCTTGTTGCTTTCCTTTAAACACGGTGTTTACTGCATATAGTGCATCAGTTTGGCCCTTCAGACTGAAGGCTTCTGTATAATGAAAGGCTTGTTATTAGAAGCTACATTGAACCAGACAGGTTCTCAAGACTTGACTCTCTAGAGACACGCATCTGAGAGACTTGAGTCTCGACTCAAGAGTCTTAACTCAGACACAGGGTGCAGCCACTTGAAACTTGATTCAGACTCACACCACAGAAACTCAAGGCCCAACTTGGCCTTGCAACCCAGTTACTCGAGACTCGACTTACAAGAGACTCAAGACATGACTCAGACTTGCATCCCAGTTACTTGAGATATGATTCGGACTTGTTCTAAGAGACTCAAGACTTGACTCAGATTCTCACTCCATGTACTCGAGGCTTAGGTCAGACCGGTACATCAGTCATTCGTGACTCAACTGGGACTTGCATCCCAGTTACTCGAGACTCTATTCAAACTCGCTCCACAGAGACTCAAAATCCAACTCAGCCTTGCACCCCAGTTACTCAAGACCTGACTTGGACTCACACTAAGGAGACTCAAGACTTGACTCAAATTCTCACTCCAGTTTTTCAAGACTCAGCTCGGATGCTCATATCAGTTATTCGAGACTCGACTTGGACTTGCATTTCACTTATTCAAAACGTGACTCGGACTCGTGCCGCAATTATTCAAGACTTAACTCGTACTCACACCCCAGAGACTCGAGACTCAGCTCAGACTTGCACCCCAGAGACTTGAGACTCAACTTGGACTCGCACCATGGAGTCCTGAAACTTGACTTGCACTTGCAACCCAGTTGTTTGGGACTCAACGTGAACTTGCATCCCAGATATTTGAGACTCGACTTGGACTCACACATCAGTTAGCTGAGATTTGACTCAGATTCACCCTAAGAGACTCAAGACTTGCACGCCACTTACTCAAGTTTTGACTCAGACTCACACCCTGGTTACTCAATACTTGGACACAAGATTCGACTTGGACTTCAGTTACTTGAAACTTGACATGGACTTGACTCAGACATGCATAAAATGATTTGTGAACATCTCTGACTTTAACAAACATAAGGTCCTTTGCATCAGGACTGCTAGAGCAGGTTGATTGGTAAGTTAAACTGTAGACACCACCAATTTGAAATCTTCCTTTCTGGAACTACTAACTGCAGAAGCAAACTTACTTAGAGTTTTTTATTTCCTCTCTTTCTCTCCCTCTATCTAGCTCTTTCCCTGTGTCCTTGGTTGCTGGCATCTTTATCAATGCAAAGTAAAAGTAGGTAAGGCCAGTCCCATCTGGTTCTAACTACCCCAACCTTCACAGATTGCACTGACTAAGCAGGATTTTAAGGCCAAGGAAGCACTACAACATTTAACAAAGATTAGAACTGCCAGGCTGTGGTCTTTTCTGTGGTTCTATATGGATGTGAAAGACAAACAACACAAAAGCAGGACAGGAAGAATACTAATGCTTACAATGTAGACAAAGACTTTTGAAAGTACCTTGGATGGCTCTCAAAACAAACAAATGGATCCTTGACCAAATCAAACCTTACTTCTCACTTGAAGCCCAGATAACTAAACTGAAACTTATTTTGCATGTATGAAAAGACCCAGTTCATTAGAAAATGACATTTATGCTTGGAACAGTCGAAGGTCAAAGAGGAAGAGGACGGCCAACAGCAAGATGGATGGAGACAATCAGAGGAACAAGCCATTAAGACCCAAAAAGAAGACAGGATATTCTGGAGGATCACTACCCATATGGTCAGCAGGAGTTAATGTTATACACTTGAATGGCTTTTGTAATGACTGTCCACTACTCTCATCCTGAATTAATGAACTTAAATGTAAGCGTATAATATTCGACACACCATACTGCCTACATGTTACAGCAAGTGTTGAGTGAGTGGTCTGGGAATTTGAGATTGGCCAATGTTTCTTTCCAATCAGGTACATTTACATCAAGAGACCATCATTGTACAGGAGGGGACAGAAGGGTCATTCCTAACCATTGAGACAGGTGAAATAAGTAATGCACTGGCTTCCTCATTGCACACACTTTAGTTTAGGGATCCAGGTTCAGCCTTTAGTTTGTAGCCTGTTTGTGAAAAGACCAGCCCATGGGAATGGGCATGGAGAAGTGCTAGCATGCATGTTAAAGCAACAGAACTGAGATGAACGATTCAATGGGTGATTACACAAAGTAAAATGGCCAATAAAGCCAGGGTGCTGGGGTCTGAAAAATACCATATTCATTATCAGTATTAACAATAATTATGCCTGCCCTCAAAGGTCAAATGCACAAATGCTATCCCATGCCCACCCAAATTACCATCCAGTGGCGGAACCAAGAAACGCTGTATTAGAAAATAATAAAAAAAGAAAAAGCACGTGGATTTCCCCCCCTCTTCTTCTCTCTTGAGCAAGTAAGGCTGTAAGGAAGTTTAGGATTGCGGGTCACACCTATAGCTGCGTGTACTGGAGTTCGACTAAATCGGGGCTGCCGTCAGTGGCATCTGGATCCATAAAGTAGAGTGTGGCAGTGGCAGCACAATCCCGGGCGTGACGGGCAGGGGTTGGCCGCGGCTTTGCCGCCTGGGGGGTCACCTCTTTGGGCTGCGCCCGCCGACAGCGTGGGCCGTTCCACCACGTCTCCAGAGCGGCCACCAGGCAGGCGAGCAGCAGCCCAGCTGCAAGGATGCAGAAAACTCCAGCAAAGCTGTGCAGTCTTAGCGCTCGCCCCTCAGACTGGGCCTCGGTGCCTCTGTCCAAATCACAGCGACCCTTGCGTGGCCACCACTTCTGCTTCAGGATGTCCAGGTCGCCCTTCTCCTGTAGCTCCAGAATCCTGCAGGGACACATAAGAAGGTCACAATATTTACATTTCCCATTCTCTGTTGGTATGATATCATCAGTGGGGAAACCTCAGGGACTTCTAGGCCAGAGAAGCCCTAAAGATTTGTGGGAGGTCAATTTTTTATTAATTTTTATTTAACAGAGTCATGCTTGTTATATTTAAAGTCAAAGTAAAGTTTTGATTGGAAACAAATGGGTTGAAATCGTAAAACATCCAACTGAAAACTGCATTGATGAGGCCTTCAGGAGCTGAACAGAAGGCCTTAAATGTAAGATTACCGACATAGGAAGAACAGAGGAATCAACCAAATACGGTACGATTTCCACTGAGTGGGGCCGATTTCATGAGAAAAAAATGTTCCTCTAGGCCTTTTGGAACTCCCAGATACACAACTGACTGTATCCTAACAAGTCAGTGCCACAGCTCTATGCCAGGGCTTAGTCCATGATCTGAAGCTCAAGCGAATTTGGGTTACGCAGCAACACAATAATCCAAAGCACCTCTGAATGACTCAAAAGAAGCATAAAGAAGGTTTCGGAGTGGTCTAGTCAATGTACTGACTTGAAAACCACTGAGATGCTGTGGCAGGCAGTTCATGCTTGAAAACCCTCCAATGTGGCTGAATTAAAGCAATTCTGCAAAGGACACTTAGCCAAAAGTCCTCTCTAGTGATGTGAAAGACTGCTCTCCAGTTAAAGGAAGCATTTGGTTGCAGTTGTTACATTTTGTATGAGGATCTGAAACCATTTAGTGTGACAAAATTGCAATAAATAGAGGAAAATCAGACACACCAAATGCTTTTTTACAGAACTGTAGGCGTTTCTGATGAACTGGCAATTGGTGTACACCATGAGCTCCATGATTAAAGTGTAAAGCAACTGTCTTCATTACAGATGAGATTGCAGTGCAATAGTAGGGACAGAAAGGAAGGAGACTATGTGAAAGAAATAAGGGAAGAGATTCACAGCAAAAGTGTTAAGATCAAGACAGAAAGATACATAGGGAGATAGAGAGAGAGGCAGTGTAGCAGCGCTCACTTCTGCGAGAAGAGGTCTCTGTAGGGGCTGCCGTGCTGCAGGGCAAGGCCGTAGCCTTTGGTGCTCATGCTGCTCCCTGTGACTGTGAGGGTACATTCATCATCTGTCAGAGCAGCATATTCCACCACTGCCATGTCCCATAAGAAAGCGTACGACTCCCGCTTCGCCTTACAGACAAGAGACAAATGCACAAACGCACACATTAATGGCAAAATATTGTAATTAGAGCAATTTTTGTCATCTGCTAAACGTGTATATCTGTCTTCATTATTTATTCACTTTTTTAAAACAGTCAACATTGATGCTGCACTTCCAGAAGATGCTTACAATAATAAACAAACATGCTTACAGTAATGAACAAATACCTAGAAAATAAAATACAGAAACCATTAGAAAAAAATAGCGATACATTCACACATTCAAAACAAATTACTGTTAATAATATATAACCGATTCCGCTGCAAATACATACAATTATTTAAATATGATGCTAATATTTTATAGGTTTCAAACAGGCTCAATAAAGAAAGGAAGAAATTACTTTAAATAGATAATTAAGTTGACGTGACAAAGCCAACGTACGGTTCTTCATAATGTTCTTCTTTTTTATTATTCTATACTCATAATCTGTCAGTCCTACTCCTCCTATAGCTTTCAAGTTGCAATCACCAAACTTTGCAAAATTGTAGGACCTGCACCTGAACAGTGTGCTTGCGCTTTTTAGACCAATTGGATTGACCAGTTTTATACAGTGCTCATCCAAAGACAACGTTGAGAAAATTCTCTCATATACTCAGACATTACATACAGATCCACTGCTGTACAGTAACTAAACAGTAGTTACGCAGTTATTTCATGTGACATACATACACGCATACAAGCCCATATACACAGTAAAGCAAAGAAGTAACAGTTATAACAGTTACAACTTAGCACCCTGCTGGAATGACCTAGCAGCACTTTACCAACCACCAGGGATATCACAGCCTGGCATCACCCTACTGACCACCTGGTGTACCATAGCAATGGCTTTGTCAAGCCAACTTAATGTTCAATCACAAACTTTCTCCTTCTAGTTTTCTAACTTCTATTTTTTGCCATGAAAATACTAAAAATGAAAAATAAAATACTAAAAGTTTTTTCCTATGTTTTGGTGTTTAGGACATTTGTAATCAACATTGTATAATTTATTATGGTATAAAATTACCAAATAACACGTGATCCCATACTTTTGAATTGTAGTTTACATTAGACTCATAATAAAGAACCTGTTTCAGGATTTTGTTGTTTTGTCTTATGTATTCACATGACTTCAGCATGAAGTTCATTTCTACTAGCAAAATGTCAAATATAGGAACAGATTTAGATTTGCTAACTTTATTCTTTTTTTTTTTTTTTAAGTATTTAGCAATAAGAATAGCCTGTTCCTGGGCATAACAGTGTATCAGCACGTGATGTAGTCAGAGCCAGTTTAGAGGGAGACTGACCACTTCCTAATTCACACCAAAACATGACTACAAAAAGCTAGAAGGTGCCCATGAGCAAGCCCTCAGTGAACTGGGATGAATGGAACTATTTGAGTCTTTGAGAAAGTAGAAGTATGTATTACATAAAAACCAATGACAATTTATCATAGTCTTTCTGTTTTTCTACAGCAAACCGGTGTTGTAGGATGCCTTCTTTACGGCTACCACATGACTGCCAAGCTTATCAGCTCATTGGCTGAGTAAACAGCAGTTCACATGCTCTGATGTCATGAATGTACATAAGACACTTTTTTAAGTCCTATAACCTGTGTATAAATGATTAACCACTTTCACATTACAATTTTACACAAAGGCTTCATAGGACCCCATTCATTATGGTTTCTTTCAGGGGTGTCCCCTCGTGTCTGACCAGCATCTCTTCACTAGACGTTCTTTGGTCATGATTATTTTCCCTATAGAGAAAAACTGTTCTTTATTTAAACATAACACCATTTATTTAAACATAACACTGAAAGTTATCGCTATCGCACCCTGTGGTTCACAGAAAGGTTCCAATGTTGATACATTTTATTCTGTGTTTGTTTTTACACTGAATGTCACTGGATCCTCTGAATTACATCCATGCTAAGAGCAACCTACTGCTCCAACACATTGACATGATGTCACATGAAAGTAGGTCTACTATTAAACTGCAGCTGTATTATATAATATGAGCTGCTCAGTCTGTAGTCTACTGGCTACAGCCAAAGCAAGTTAACTACCATATTTGACAAAGCTTGCTGGTTTGTGTGGGATATTTTGGTGAGGCTGCCAGTCTTATGATGTCAGTTCAGTGTGCAGCAGTGTTGCATGTGGTAATATTCATATTTTGACATTTGAAGTCCAGAGAGGCCAGGAGCTACTTACTTTTTTGGAGATTATGACTTAATTATCTCATTTTCTCAAGATCACAACTTATCTTGAGATCACTAGACAATTAAAGAAAATTATAACTACCTTTAGGCATCTCTGAACTTCCATACTAATGACCTCATAATTTAGAGGATCTTGTGATATTGTGGGGGGAAAACAAACACATGACAAAGTGTATGGGATTTGGATTATTTTTGTTTGCCACTGGGTTCAACAGTGGCAATTTTCTATTTTAAATTTCTAAATTCAATTTCCAAATTTCAATTTCCAGAAAACCAGCTTAGACCCCCTTTTTTGGGTATGGCAATGACTGCAAAATGACAACAAAACATCAGGTCTGTTCTCATCTCAGATCTCTTCTCCAGAATTATTGTCACCCCTCAAAAAACTGGGCAAAAACAATCATATAAAATCAATATTACTATAATTATGGAAAGATTCTTTAAAAATGTGCAGGAGAAATCATTTACCATTTATCTAATAGAAATCATTCCTACAAGAGTGTTTCATTTCAAGAATAGTGTATTCATCCAAAAAATATGGGGCAAAATGATTGGCACCCTTAAAGAATATTTTAGATAAAAACATCTTGGGACATGAGGGGAAAAATCTTTCTTTTATTGTGTCCAGGAACCAAAGAGCTATAAAACTAAATGATACCGAAGATTGTGAAAAATTACCACTATTATAATTGTCGCTTGTTATTGACCATTGTTAACTATTAAGCAAAATGCGGGTGATAATAAAAAAGTTTGAAAAGCATGGAACAGTTGACAATTTGCCAGGAAGAGGATTCAGCGAGGAGGAAGGTAAGAGAGGCAGAGAGAAAACCAAAGATCATAGTTTCAAAACTGCACAGTTTAGTTCACTCCATCACCAGAAGCTTTTTGGAAGAGTTGCACAAAGCAGCCCTTTCTAAGAACAAACCACATAATACAGCCTGATATTTGCAAAATGTCACTGGAAGTACAAATGCAATCATGCAGTGTGGTTAGATGAGAACTTTGAGATCATGCACAATGTTGTCACGTTTGTTAGCTCCATATAATGAAAAGCATCTGAAACCTGATGTCAGTTTTGGTGGTGGATTATTGATGCTTTGGGCCTGTTATGCTGCTAGTGGTTCAGAGGTTTTTGTGAAAACAATGAATAATGAATTCTACTAAACACCAGGAGATTTTAGCCCATAATCTGTCTGCCTTTGCCAGAAGGCTGAAGCTTGGCCATGGGTGGACCTTTTAGCAAGATAATGACCCCAAACACACATCAAAATCCACACAGCAATGGTTACGGGAACGAAAAGTTTTGCAATGGCCCTCTCAGTCTCCAGACCTGAACCTGTTTATGAACTATTAGAAAGCACAAGCCAAAACCCAAGAATATCAAGGAGCTGGAGATGTTCTGCATGGAGGAGTGGTCCAAGATCATTCAGTGTTAAGTGTTCTCTAAACTTGTAAAGCATTACAAAGAGCAGCTGGTTCCACCAAATATTTCATGAAATATTAACAATGCCAATATCTTTGAAACCCATGTCAAAAAAAGTTTGTGTTACTAAAGAAATTCTTGGGTTAACTGCAAGTCTGATCAGTGGATTCAGTGTGTTTTTAGTTTCTTTGCCTTCTAGTTTGGCATCATGTTAACATTTTTAATTCCTGACACTTTAACAGTGCGTTGATCGTATAAATAGCTGTGCATGTAAAAGTCAGGATAACAGAGTCTTCTTGGAAATGAGTGACACTCTTTCTGTCACAGCTTCTGGCCGTGACCTTCAAAGAGAAAGAAAATTGGTTGAATTTCTCTGCTCAATATTCTCCCTGTTCCTTCTTCTTTCAAGAGTTCATCCATCTCCTGAGGTAATGGTGTTCCTCTCAACAACAACAACAACAAAAAACAATCCAGCCCTCAATGCAGCTATGCAACTTCTATGCTTTTATAAGGCTTTCAGGACATGTCTAAAAAAAATAAGTACATAAATAAATAGATAAATATATAGAATTGATGAAAGGAGTCTATTCTCTTTAGCTTTTCCATAAAAAACATGCAATTTTCCCAAACTTTCCTACAACCAAGATTACTGTGCTCGTGCCCACACATGGTGGGCGCTGATATCTCATTTGTAATTTGCCTTTCAAAAGTGCAGCTGTTAATATGACATTTTGATATCCTCACATTATCAGAAAGGCAAGTGTGACTCAGAGGAATTGCATTGGAACGTAATTAGCATGCTAAACCACGACTGGCCTCTGATGATACACCTGTGTGCCTGGAATAGCCTGTGTCTAATTTATGAAATTACAAACTCAAATTATGATGGCTTTGCACGAGCTGGGTAGGATGAGCCTCTGTAATCAGGACGAGGGCAGATAGAAAGCTTCTAAAGAAAATGAACTAATTCATTTAAACACAAACCTTGGCGAGGCAGTGCTGCAAATTAATTGCACCATGTGCGAGGACCAAAAACTTCACCCGTTGCTGGGAGTGTTATCACTTTTCATTTTATTACTTAAGGAATCAATCCTGGTGCGGCTGAAATATTAATGTAATAAAGCGTTACTTACCAAAATCCCAATTAAATTGCAGTAAGGAAGAAGAACAGAGCAGACAGTTCTACAGTTTGTTGTTCTTTGATGTCTCTGTATACATTAAGTCGCTTAATTGTTTGCACTGCTCCTTTTTCCCTGCATTGTACTGGTGCACAGCAAATTTGCCAGAGTTAAGTCAACACTTGAAGAGTTCATCTGCAAAAATTCTGCATTCCAGGTAATATCAATCAAACTGCTGTTGGGTTGTTTTAAGTAAAAATAACTCAACAAAACTTACAAACTGACATTTTATTGTTTTTTTTTTTTCTTTTTAATTTAAATTTTGTGTTTTGGCAAAAGCAGAAAACTCGAATGGCCCTTTCATGTTTCAGTGTTAAACAAAGCCATTTAATGGTTAAAAATGTCTTTTGTGCACAATATTTTTGAGTGCTAAATTTCCATCTATCTATCTATCTATCTATCTATCTATCTATCTATCTATCTATCTATCTATCTATCTAACATTCTTTAGCACAAAACAAGCAAGTAAAGAGCTGAAAATTTCAACAAAAACAGGCCTTTAATGGTGAATATTAAACATCTATAAGATCATACTCTGAAAATCCTAAGGCTGAATATCCAACGACTCACTGCTCCCTCTATAGTGCACTATGTGAATTATGAAATCTTGGCTTTTACACCCAAATATTGAGTTTTATGTCCAGTATGAATTGAGCTCTCATGACTGAATCTAGAGTGGTTCTCTGTTAGACTCACTGAGCTCTGTTTAGATTCAGTAGCTGCACTTTGTAGGTTGAAGAGAGCTGTTTAAGATTCTGCCTAAAACAGTTTGCAGCAATCCTGACCTGAATACTGCATGCTGATTGGCTGACTGGATTTATTGGGTTCTGCTGGAGAACAGTGCTGCGTTTGACAGTTTCTGCTCTAAAACATGAACTTGCAAAACCTTGACAATGAAAAATAATGGCTTTTGTGACTAAATATATTTAGGGTTCAGGATGCGCTGTGTGTTAAGAATAACTCACGACAGTCAGCTTTTTTCCTCGTAGGACAGCATTTATCATTTTTTGCAAATGAACTCTTCACTTTAACACTTCCTCATTTTACAAATGGCCGTCCACCAATGAAGCGTACTTAAAAGAGAAGTCCCCCAAAATCAGATCTGATCCCTGCACTGTTAGTTACAGCCAGGATTTCATGATATTTAGCACAGATTTTAACAGAAAAATACTATATTCATCTTGAATCAACTAATCATACGATATTTTCTGTAAGGTTGATGTCGGGTTGTATTATGGGCAATGACAGCAAATCAGAGCTAAAAAGGCATAAACATTGTAATAGAAACATTTTACTTTGGTATTTGAAATACTTGTGTATTTGCATTTTAAAAATGCATCTCTGAGATATTATGTGCAAATTATATATTTTTATTAACATATTTATTGTTCTAATTAAAAGTACATTTTTCATGGTATGTGATGTTCATTCTATGCTCTGTAAAAATACAGGAGATCACTGTATTTTTACAGTAATTACAGCTTAGTACTATATAAGTGCAGCAGAAGACAATTACATCACAGTACACAGTTGCTTGTAGTCAGCAATGTTTGTAATTTTACAATGCATATTTTTTACATTGGGACGTTTTCTAGATGCAACATACAATTTGCTTATCAATAACTGCAGTTATAAGACTTTTCTGTTTTGGTTGTTTTGTTTTTTTTTTCAAGGGACTGTTTTGCCAAACATTTCCATGGTTCATAGTTTTGTGCTGCTGGATGTAGTTTCTGATTGGTTAGTAAATTGTGTCAGTGTCAGAACACGGCTGCTTTCTTTCAGTTACAGTAGCTGGTTATCTCACTCAGTGATTACAAACATAAGGCGTAAAAAAAGTTCCATTCATTTCCATGAAGAAACAGAGACATTGTGACAAATGATGGCTACATACAGGGGTGGACTGGAAACTAAATTCAGCCCTGGCCAATTTTGTCTAGACCAACCCACTACAATCACAGTGCCCTCCCCTCCAACACCACCCCCAAAACCAGCGACAGCCACCTAACCCTAAGCCTGCTGTCATAGTTACCCTGAATGGACACACATTTTCCAACAACAGTAAACTTGGTTTATCTCTTTAAAATAGAGAAGTGTGAACACTTTGAAGATGCTGTAGCTTGGCTGAGAACCAGAGTGGCTGCTGGTTAACTAGCTAGTTAATTAGCCTTAGTGTACAAGTAGATTGAATGAACTGGCTAATTTACCCCTTTAGCCCTGTGGTTCCTCGCTATGATAGCCAAACAAATCTTGTACTTTCATTTCTTCATTTTTTGCATCTTAAGTTACTTTATGTTTTTTATATCACACACCCACAACCCCCCCTTCTCCTTACACTTATTGGAGGTTTTCTCCGTCTTGCTCTAACTAGCCTTCACTTTAACAGGGTGGCAGCGTTTGCGTGACTGGCCGATGGCCACACGCTGAGAGTGCAGTGCTCCACTAATGTGTCTGGATATGTGCACTACATTATTTGCCCGGCTCATGCCGTTTGTCCCAGGCGGTTTCCATTTATAGGATTACATTATAAACCACCATGTATTTCTCTCTTTCTCACTCTCTCAGCCGCCCACACACATAGCAGCCCACTGGGAATCGTCCTGGTCCTCCTGATGGCCAGTCCACATGAATATGGTGCTGATACCAATTTTGAGGTAATTATTCACTGAGGGTCTGCAGTGACCACTCCATGAGGATTACCAGGGGAACCGTCTGAAACCAGGACTTACTCTTGTTGTTTATCCATGGACTGGAACGTGGCAAGGAACCGAGTTACAGGCTTTGAAGATAGTTTTGTTCTTGAGCAACATCATGAAATTATTTGGGCTTCACGCTCTTAGACAGATGACATATTTGTGCAAAGTTCTGTGTGAGTGGGGTTGTGGTTTTATGTTAATTTTAACAAATTATTTAAACAATAGATATAAAAAAACTTAAGCTGTCAATAAATCACCCAATAAGCACCCAGAATGGCTCAAATATGATATAAGATAAACTCCCCGATAAATGGAGCTCTACCTAATAAGCAACATTGGCTACCAAAGGGCTCCCTAACAACAACTGTATTATTATTGTACTAGTATGTTGTCTAAGATGCTAAAAAAAAAAACAAGCAACTAGTTAACCATGTCTCTTAATAGAATGTACACATCTGTGGGCAAAAGAAACAGGAAAAAAAGGAAATTAGATGAGAAAATAAACTTGAGAAAATAAAAGGTAAAGGTATGTTTTGGGTATGTGGTGCACATTACGCCATTTGTTTTTGGCTTGTAATTGGACAAGTGGACAATCTGTGGTCTAACAAAGCAGGATATCCTGCTTAGCCAGCTAATTTTAAGCTTAGCTTGATCTAAACCTGGATTTTCTGTTACAATGGTGGTTTACTCTTTATGCTGTATGTCTAAAGCTCAGGATTCCTAAGAGAACATTCCTTTTTACTGTTATAAATGCTTTGCTTTCAACATGTTTCCACATATTCTTCCATCTTTGGCTAAAGTTTAGATTAGATTAGATTAGATTAGATTAGATTAGATTAGATTAGATAATCCTTTATTAATCCCACAATGGGGAAATTTGCGGTGTTACAGCAGCACAGAAGACAGAGCAGCAGGAAATATACAAACAATATATAAAATAGAATAAACAATAAAAGTATAAAGATATATTTCATGTGATTGGCTGTTTGTTATAAATGACATGCTATCATGTGCACATGCACAAGGATTAATCACAGCCTATCTAGAGTATCTAAACCTGGATAAACAGAGAATGTTATTAATAGCCTTTATAAAATAAGTTAAACCAGTTCTACTTGGATTTTGTGAAATAAGGCTCAGCTTAGACCTTGGGCCCTGGCCATGTAAGAGGAAACAGAGAAAATCAACCATAAACCAAAACGAAGAAAATACAGCAGTAAGTAGCATGTGCTGGGCATTTAATGCATGCGAATGGAAGATGAACCACTACTGCTTTGTGCTATTTGCTTTGAGATCTTTTCAAGTAAAGTTTTAATCCCAACAATTTACACCATCATTTGGAGACTAAACATAGTGAATGGGTACCTAAACCTGTTGAATTAAGACAGGACCCTCTTCAGCCTGACATCCAGCACTCGGTAGCTGTCAAACAAGTTCAGCTCTCATTAGCTGAGTCAGAAAAAAGTGATCTGTTTGGTTAAATCTTCTTGTGGACCACTGAAGCATTTGTGGTGGGTTAGAAGTTGCTAAAGGGTGGGAACTCCTGGCCTAGATGGTTGCACTACATGGGAGCACAGTTTCCAAAAAACATGTCAGCTATTATTTTTGGCTATTTCATGAAAGACTATGGCTCAGAAAAGGTCTTTTAACATTCACATCATTTTATAGAACGTAATGCATGACTCACATCTCAGATTCTCCAGGCCAGTACAGACGTATATGATACAACTGAACTGAGCACAGTTTACAGGTGTTGTGTGCAAAAGTTTGGGCACCCCGGTGGAGTGAAAATGTTAACAAATCCTCTAAAGAGAACAAACTTCTGCATACTTTAATGCACAATTATTGTTTATTTCCTGAACTTAACATATTTAAAAAATGTGGCCTGTGCAAAATTATGGCATATTTTATATTTCATGTTTTATTTTTTTTCCAATATGTAAAACTCAGCAAATAAATGAAAATTGTACACTAAAATTAGCAGAAAACTGTCATATTTATGTTTGTCCTCTGTAGAGGACTTGCTAACTTATTTTCCAATAGAAAAAACACAAAACATGCAATTTGACCAGGGGCGCCTGAACTTTTACAACTGTGTATCACAAACTTGTGTGATTTCATACAAATTCCCAAAAGTCAGCTTGATGCTGCTGTATACAGTTATCAGCCATGCCTGAAGCCCTTCACCTTTTCTAAACACTTGGTAGAAAATAGCTTTTGAAACCCTCTATATCTCTTCAACGTCTCTGCAGTGCAGCTGAAATTCTTCTGTTGACCTCTTCACACAATAAAATCTTACAAAGCACACTTTGACACCCTGCTGGCAGCGTAAATAACGCTGCTGTTGTGACTCATACCTTTCGGATGCCTTCAGCTGGAGTGGCCACCGAGTTGTCCTGCCCCTTGTTCTTATTGATTGTCCTCCACAGCTCTGCGAAGGTACTGTCCTGCTCCAGGGGATTTGTTCCCTTCACCCTGAAGTACTCATACACCGCTGACTCTCTGACAGTACCATAGCTAAGGTCTGCTTGCTTGGACAGGTCCTGGAACGTTCTGGAAGAGAAGAGAAGCCGTTAATGATGTCAAGTTGTTGTGTGAGAGTCTCTCGAGGATTTTGGGAGAAGTCAACATTGTTAGCTGTGTGGCAGAAAGTTAATTAACATAGCGAGCATGCTCTTGGAATCACTGATGACTGTATGCACAGACATTGTTCATTTGCTGCTGTGTTAAGAAGAATCTCCCAAATGATTTGGTTGGTTAATTCAGTGCGTAAAAAGGCATTTAAATTGTGTATTATGAATAAACCACAGACTACGATATAAAACCCAAATAACTTTTTTCACAGTAGCCATGAAATGCAATTTCCACTTATTTTTAAGGTCCCCAGTTGAACCACGCATTTTTTTCTTCAGTAACATTGATGGAATATATTCCAATATAAATGTGTATGAACTGTGAAATGAACTGGGCTTTCAACTTTGTAGGTGAGCAAGCAAATTAATATTCAGCACTGAAATTAACAAGTATTTGATATTAATAAACCTGCAGTTGTGCTGTCTGTTTTATCTTGACACGGCCGTCTTTGTGGAGAGGTGTGAATTGTTTTTCACAGAAGGGGGTTCTCAGTTTAAGAACATGTCAAGGATCTGACGGAGGCTTTTTCTTAGGACCTTTATAAGAACAAATGGTAACACTTTCTATGAATGTCACCTTTGTAAGCATCTATAAACACATTCATAACATGTTATAATGCATTCATAAGACACTATAAACATAGCTATAAATATTTATAAAAATGCATTATATGTTATAGCCATGATTATTATGCATTACGAATTGTTAACATAATACATTATAAGTACTGATTATAACAAATTATAAGAGCTCATAAGTCGTATTTGTGTGCTCTAAGTAAAGTGAAGCGTACTGTACTAAAGCCTCCTCCAGTGTTAAGAGTGAGGCTTCAAGTTGAAGTATTTACTGAAGGATTTACTGAAACACTAAAACATTCACAGTAAAGCACATTACAGGCTTCAAATGGCAGAGTTTAAACTAGAGCTGCCATCAGTGTTTTACCCAATGTGGGAAAGGTAATGTTCACCACCGTTAGCTTGGTATTTGTCTTTACTTTACGCTCTCCAAGCTGGGACTGACTTCTTTGGCACTGATATTATAACATGTTATTAACACTATTTATAATGCATTATATTAACAATTCATAATGTATAATAAACATGGCTATAAAGTGTTATTCAGTGTAATTCTTTTAATAAATGTTTATAACCATGTTTATAATGCCTTATGAATACATTATAACATGTTATAAATGTGTTTATAGATGCTTACAAAGGTGACATTCATAGAAAGTGTTATTGAACAAATTTTAGAATAAACATTGGAAGATATAGGTGAATGAAGGGCAATAAGTGACTTGTTAGCGGCTCATGCATGTTGTACACCTCCACAACAATTTCAATATCGTAATATCATTATCATGACATTTGCATTATTTAAACTGAATGTTAAACATACAGCAAAATTTAAATGAAAAAAAAAACTAGACAGAAATGTAATAAAGCAAGGCCTAAAAATTGCTTATCAGACCCATCTGTAAATAGACCTAATATTCTAATGAGCTTGTGTGATTGACATATCACTCGGTCCAACTCTCCCAGCCTGCTACACCACTGTTAAACAACTAAACACAATAGCTGGGAGAAATGAGTAAAGAGGCTTTGTATATCATTGCTGTGCAAAGAAAACAAGTATCTCCATTTTTTTTTTCATCATTTCAATACAGCGACTGTTCTTTTCTTTGTGCAAAAAAATCATGGTAAGCACCCAAAGTGCTCCAACATGACTTGGAATAAAATTTTTATATTAACTTGCTTTGAAAGTTAAGAAATAGTACTTGTTTTACTGTCAGTGTTACTGCAGTGCTGAGAATGATCTCAAATAGTACCTGCTCTGTGAGGGTCCATGGGGGTCCTGACCACTGAAGAACAGGGTAAAAGGGGGCTAACAAAGCATGCAGAGAAACAGATGGACTACAGTCTGTAACTGTAGAACTACAAAGTGCACCTATATAGTAAGTGGAGCTGATAAAATGGACAATGAGTGTAGAAACAAAGAGGTGGTCATAATTATGCCTGATCGTTGAATAATCCCATCAGTTTTAAATCAAAACATAATCAGTTGATTCCACTGTCACTTCCTTATGTTGGTGGTAAAAGTCCTGTAATGTGTAAGGTCTTCTGTTCAGCTCCTGAAGGCCCAGCCAATAGGATGGTTTGCTTGGCCATATCTACACAGTTACTACCTGAAAAAATACAGATTGGACAATTTTGTGTTGGGTGTTTCTAAATCATTTTGCCACTTTCTGAAGGTCTAGAAGGCCCTGAAAGTTCCCCATTGCATTCTACTTATACAGTGAAGCAGATTAAGTATTTACTAAGTCACAGACTCACTTATGCTAATAACAAAATAGAAAGTTCTAGGAGACTCGTGTAGAGACAAGACTTCACATACTGTACTTTACTGAAAACTGTCTACAGAGAAAACTGGTACCTCAAGAATTTCCCCTGATTTTTGCCCTTTACTTCACACTGGAGATCATGAAAAGAAGGAGTGAATCGTAACTCCAGCAGAGACTATTGATTAGGCAATAAGGTTCTTAATGAAGGAGCCCTATCTTATGCTGTTATCACATAAATGACCTTGTAAATAATGACCCACTCAATCATGTACAGCTTTAAGGCCTCTGAGATCTTATTCACTATATCCTATTGTCCATTAGAAGAGCACAGGGAGCTTCACTTTAGACCTTGTTACACTGAGTTACACTTAAAACAGGTTTTGGGACTCAGTCTTGGGTTAAGGGTACATTTCAATGACAAATTATTGCTTTGGAAAACAAATTTAAAAGTATTGCATTTTAAATTGCATTTGTTTGTCACTGAGCAATGCACTCTACACTGCAGGTTCCAGTTCTATATGAATTTTTGAGCCATGAACTATTTAAATTACTGAATTATGAACTATTACACCTTGTAATTTTGCATTATATGGATTCCATGGATTTCATGTATTCCATTTTTGTTGGCAATCAGCTTGCATTTTGGGGAAAATGCAGAAAAAGGGGCACATTTCATTTACAATAAAGTCTTTTATTAACGATGTTTTGGAATCAGTTATTACAGTCGTATGTGAAAGTTTGGATGCTCCTAGTCAAACAGCGCTTTGATGATATCATAATTAAAAATAAGTTCTTGTCCTTTACAGAGATCACCCATATGCACATGCTAATGCTGTTTATTTGCTGATTTTAACACATTGGAAAAAATGTGGCCTGTGCAAAAGTTTGGCACATTTTATACTGTAGGTTTTGTTTTTTTTCCAATATGTTCAACTCAACAAATAAATAGAAAATGTGCAATAAAATGTGAAAAAACAATCTCTTAGAAAATCAACAAAACATCACTGGACATTAAGTAACATTTTATAACAATATATGTGTAAAACAATGTAACTTAAACAAAGATATTTTTATGTGCGTATGTATGTTTTATTCAATAGGTCAAGAATGTTGTGTTATTACATACAGTAAATTTTACTGTTATTATCTATCACCATATTTTTCCTCAAATGATCTTTTTCAAATAATAATCAACAATTTTCAAATATTTGGTATTCCTGATGTGTATTATAATTTTATACAGCTGATATATTATTATTTATTTTGCTTTTTTTTAATTATTTGAAAACTATGAAGTTGCAAGGGACAAACATACTGAATTCATTTTATACAATTAACTAAAAATAAGTGTTAAATAGGAACACATATTGAGTCCAAACCTTTGAACAGAGATTCCAAACATTTCAAGCAGTAGTCTACGTTATGCATGAAGTGTGAGGGAGTGGTCGGGTACCAGACTTTTTGAGTCCCTGATAGAAAGAGGATTTTGAACTACTATTGGCCCACTGATGGCAGAGCTGATGCTCCAACAGCGTTTTGCTCAGTGTTTTCTGGGCTGTCCGCTGGCGGTTAAGTAGAGTAACAGATAAAATTCCACTTACCATCACTCATTCTTTTCTTTACTTTAATTATACCTAATAAATGAGTAGTTTAGTAAGTAATTTTAATCCAGCACAGAGTCAGCAACATTTTCTATAAAATCATTTTATATCAGGCCTAGTCATTATTTTTTTCCTCTCATGTGTTTGTAATATTTGTCTAAGTTTATTCTCTAAAATTAAGTTAAGACTGTGTGCATTTGAAATTTGTTTGGGAAGATAAAAAACTAGTTAGAGCTTGTGTGCAGGACAGTAATCTGGGTGGTCCGAGGGTGGACCAGCAGTGGCGTACAGTTAGCGGGGTGCCAACCTTCTCAAGCCAGCGGACTGATATATGCTTGCTATCTGGGGTGGTGCGGAGTGGGAGAGGAGCAGGGAGTGGAGCGGCATGGTGTTGCCCAGACAGCAGAGCGGCTCTTTACACCACTGCTTTTATAGAAATTTCTGCAGGAAAAAAGTTTTTTAACATTTATGGCCCAAAGTCCCACTGCACATGAACCCTGCTACATAACAGTGGCATAAGCATGCCATAAACATGCCATCGGAGATATCATATACTGTCATTTTGTTCAGTGTATCCACTTTTTTCCTGCACCCCATGATGCTTTAAGTGACTTATAGACAGAACTTTCAGCAGAGCATAAACAGACAATAAGTTGAATGCCTATAACATCCTAACATGTTAGAAATGTGGGACTAAATAAAAATAATCAATAATCAATAATCTTCTCGTTGGGATGCTTAAATACTTGCGTGCTGATGTTTGCGGCTTCATCCATCCACATCTCACTTTAGTCAGAGGATCCTATTTATAGCTAGTGAGGTTGTGGGCTTTTTATGTCAGCGCTGGTTTAAATACAGACATTTTTCAGCTTTTAACAAGCATGTAAGAAACACTTTTTACTTTGTATACCTCACTTTTTAAGTAGTCAGAAAACTTGAAGAGTGTCTTTTCTCATTTTAAAGTTAGCATGATAGCC